TTGCTAGGCCTTTCTTCCACAGCACCACAGGGTGGATTTTAACCACTAATCTTTAGGTTAGCAGCCAATTGTGCTACCCAGGGACCACTTTCTAGCTGCCATTTACTCAGCATCTATTAAACACCGTTGCATGTATTATCTCCAGTCTTCCTAATAAGCCTGGAAGGGAGGTATCTGCCCACATTTTGCAGGTGACAACAATGAGGCCCAGAAAAGGTAAATAACGTGTCCAAGGGTATATAGATAGTTCTTGGCAGATCCAGGATTCAAACCCAGGTCTGTCTGGCATCAAAACCCAGGTTCTTTTCACTAACATTGATGATACATTCTTTTATCTCTCCTCTTTCTCACAATAATCCCTCACCTGCTGGTTGGACAGGGTAGAACCACATACCAAAGATACCTTTCCAGTCCACCCAAGATCTGGCTCCTCCCAAAGGGAGGAGTCATCTGCAGATTTGGACTTGATATTAAAAACAATAATAGCTACTATTTGTCAAGTATCTACTATTACCTAACATAGTAATAATCTAGAAAAAAATCTACAAATTAAGAATTATTATCTCTATTTCACAGATGAGGAAACTGAGGTTTAGAAAAGTAAAGCCAGATGCCCAGTCACACAGTTGAGCCTCAGCTGTAAAATGGTATTTGTGACATTCCATTCAAACCCCATGCCAGTGATCTATTCCCAAAAGATCACAGCCATTGAAAACCCTACAGAACAGTTCAACTCTGGCACACATAGGGTGGCTATGAGTCAGAATTGACTCCATGATAACTGTTCCTTTTTTTTTTTTTTAATTAAATGCCTACTACAGTCATAGCTTCTGATTACTGATGCTGTGAGAACCTTTCACCTTAGACCATTGGGCCCAACCCCCTGGTTTACAAATGAGCAAACAGAGATATGCAGAAGTGAGTGATTTGCCCAAGGTCCCACAGTTGGTTCTATGAACTGCTTCACTTAGCCTGCAGGTCCAAAACTGTGACTGTGACTGGGATGCTCCATTCATCTGTCCTCACCACACCCTATCTGTCTGCCTGTCTCTCTGTCTGTCCACACCGCACCCTGTAAGATCAAGATGCACACCGTCTCCCCAACAAAACCTTCAGTATCCAGGCAGAGGTACAGCCTCCCTTTCTCCACTCCCTTACCACAGTGTGTGTGCATGCTTCTGAGCATTGTGTGTTGATGCCACACAGGGGTAGATTAACCAGTAAGCACAGTACTCACCGGCCTACAGTAAGCAACGTATGCATGGGCTTAATTGTGTTTACTTACTAATCTGTAGTACACAGTTTAACCTGGGTTTCACCATGTTGTGCACTACAGATTAGTAAGTAAGCACAGTTAAGCTTGTGTATGCCTTGCTTATTGGGTAATCTGTCCCTGCATTGGTAATTGCCATACAGCCAGGAGAGGCCTGGCATCCAGCCACACACTACCCTGGCAGCCTTCTGAGCCACTCTTCTCAATATCTCATTCCTTCTCCCCTGTCTCTGTAAACCATGTTGGAGGGAGACAAGGAGGCCCCACTCCTCTCTCCACTTTATTGTCTTCCTTTAAAGAGACAGATAGTCATCCTTCCCTCTCCCCTGACCTCCACCCCATTCCTTTTTGTGCTCACTGCACTTGCCCCTCCATTCTCTCACACAAGCCAAGGGTCCCCTCAAACCCCACATGACCAGCCATCTTCCTTCTGCCGTTTCCACTGCCCCCCAACTCAAAGTCAGGCCTGTATCCAAAGATAGGCAAGTCTGGGACAGAAAACTACTCCTGGGAGGCTCTGAGGCCAGTGCCTTTTCTCACTGAGGCCATTTGAATGCATTTTCCTATTCTTTTTATAATAGCTATCTAATGCTAACAAAGGAGTTAGAGCTGAACTACTAGCTGAAAGATTGGTGGTTTGAAACCACCCAGAGGCACCTTGGAAGACAGGCCTGGTAATCTGCTTCTGAAAGGTCTCAGCCTTGAAAATCCTGTGGAGCATAGTTCTATTCTGCACACATGGGGTCACCATAAGTTGGAATTGACTTGATGGCAGCTAACAACAGCAACAATACTAACAAATCACCCCAAAACTTAGTGGCTTAAAAAAACAGTAATCATTGATTATTTCTCATAGTCTCTGTGGGTCAAGAATTTGGAGTGTCGTCACTGGGCAGTCCTGGTTTGGAGTCTCTTATAAAGCTGCAGTCAGCAACCCACTGGAGCTGCAGTCATCTTAAGGATTGACTGGAGCTGGGGAACCCACTTCCAAGGTAGCTCATTCACAGGGCTGAAAGTTGGTGCTGGCTGTGGGCAGGAGGCCTCAGTGCCTCTCTTCATGGTCATCTCTCCACAGGGCTGCTTGAGTCCTCACAGCATGGCAGCTGGCTTCCCTCCAAGTTATCAAGGCAAAGACTGCAGGGCTTTTATGATTTAGCTTTGGAAGTCATACACTGTCAGTTCTACTATATTCTATTCATCATACAAGTTAGTTCTGATTCCGTGTGGGAGGGGACTACACAAAGGTGTGAAGACCAGTACGTGAGAACCATTGGAAGCCATCTCAGAGGCTTCCAATAAAATGTTACATCTTCACGGGACTTAAGAATGTATTTCCCCACTTTCTTTCGTCCCTCCCTATCTGGGCATCTCGTATACCTAAATTTTATTCTAGGGTCATGGAGATGGACATGAGTCCCTTCTCTAGAGGGACTCATAGTCAGTTGGGGCATACAGTCTCATCATTAGATGTACTGGAAGATATATATGTACAGAATTATGGGAGCACAAAGGACATGTGATTACATATGTGGGGGAATATGGGACACCTTCACAGAAGAGGGGACATTTGCTCTGAGTCTTGAAGGATGAGTAGGAGCTCCCCACATAAAGAAAGGAGGAAGAACATTGCTCCATGCTCCATGCAGAAGTAATAGCATGAATAATGGCAGAGAGTCACAGTAGCAGGTGAGGCTGAAATTGTAAAGAGTTTTGAAGGCAATGCTAGGGATTTCGGACTTGATACATCAGGAGTCACTGGAGGGTTTCAAGCCAGAGGACAGCCAATGGAGAGCTACATGGTGGACAGGGCATGACTGGCAGGGGAAGAAGCTGGAGGCAGGAAGACTAGTCAAGAGGCTACTGCAGTGATCCCATGAGGAGTGATGAATATCTGATCTGGGGCCACAGGGAAGAGAGAAGAGGGGTAGATTCAGGAGGTGGAAATGACAAGATCTGCTGAATTATCTCTGCAGGGAGAGAACAGGAAGGCAGGAAAGTTTTACAGGTTATGAATTACCTTTTCTAGTGCCTCTTTCCTTGGGGTCTTCCTTCGCCAACTATTAGCTCCCTGTGGATGACCCGAACACAGCCTGTGCTCAGGTCCTGAGCAGGAAAGCCCAGAAAATAGCTCCAGTTCCTGGGACTTTTTTTAAAGTTCTCTGGGCCAACACCATAAACCTTCAGTGTTTATTCTTGCAGAAAATAAGTGTTTAGAATTACCAGGGAGACCAAAGAGACATCAGACCCATTGTCCTAGAACTGAGGTCCTTAAAAGTTCTAGACCATAGACTTCTTTGGGAATCTATTGAAAACTAGAAACCATCTTAGTTCATAAAAAATGCACATTTGCACACACAGTTTTGCAAACAACTTCAGAGGGCTGACGGCCCCCTTGAAGCCCATCCTTTGGTGTCTAGACCCCAAATTAAAAGTCTCAGGCCTAGGAACAAGTTGGAAAATGAGGAGAGCAAATGTTTGACTCCCCAAACATCTGTTATTTATTTCCTCTTTTAATACTCTGTCCCCATAATTGGACAACCCCTGAAATGGCAAGAAACAGGAGGAATCATTTACCCAGCGATAGCCCCTGGTGGCATCAGCCTTACTTGGTGGGTTTATTTTCATTATTATAGTAATTTTCAGGCTGGGGCCTACAATTTTCACTTGCAGCAAGGTATTAAATTGAAATTACTCCGGATGTAATTGTTTTATGAAATAATCCAGGATACGTGGAAATGGATGCTTTTTTAAGATGGTGTTTTATTGTTTATACCGGGGTCTGGGGGGCTCTGCCTCTTTAAACAAGCCAGATTTAGATGTGTAGGGGGGGGTGGTGCAGGGGTCAGCGTGGTGTGATGGGCTGGAACTGTTGGCCCAGAACATGGCTGGGATCTGCCCTTTGCCCGTGGCACAGATGGAGGGGCTGGAAGGACACAGACTGGGGGAAGGAACCTAAGACTTGGGATTGGGTTTATGTGGCTACTAGGAACCATTGGAGGAGCCGTGGTGGTGCGGTGGTTAAGCACTCACCTGCTAACCGGAAGGTCGGTGGTTCAAACCCACCAGCCACTCTGCAGGAGAAGATATGGCAGTCTACCTCCATAAAGATTACAGCCTTAGAAACCCTATGGGGCAATTCTACTCTGTCCTACAGGGTCACTATGAGTTGGAATTGACTCAATGGCACACAGCAACAACAGGAATCACTGTGTACAAACTCAGGCATGTAAGAAATACCACCTTTATTTTCTTTATGTTAGTTGCCATCAAGTTGATTGCAGCTTATGGCAACCCCATGTGTGCAGAGTAGAACTACTCCATAGGGTTTTCAAGACTGTGACCTTTCAGAACAGATCTCCAGGCCTGTCTTCCGAGGCACCTCTGGGTAGGTTTGAACCACCAAACTTTCGGCTAGCTGTTGAGTTCTTAACCATTTGTGCCACCCAGGAACTGCTTTATTTTCTGTACATCAACTCAATTTGACTCCAAGCCCAAGTTCCCCTTAGGTGGGGGGAAATTCAGCTTCCATCATTCTCAGAGCTCCCTCCCCCCTCTCAGGGCTGGGCTAAGTCCCAGGTCTCTTACCCAGTGCTGCGCAGTGGGGAGGCCCCACCAGATGCCAAGCATCGGTGATACTGGTGACCATGATGATACCCTCTATTCTAGCCCCTTAGATCTCCTTTGTACCCAGAGGTCTTATGTGTTCTGCTGCTTTTTCCTTCTCCAGATGTAATCTGCTGGTATATTGTACAGACCTTCCACCTACCAGCATCATCATCACTTTCCATAACGAGGCCCGCTCCACCCTACTCAGAACCATTCACAGGTAAGGCAGCCTTTCTTGTCCATTCATTAACCAGTGCTGGCCCTGGCACTTGGCAAGGGCGTGTCAGCTCACTGTGCGCCCAGCCCCGTAATGAGAGTGTCTTAGGCTGGGTTCCCTAGAGAAGCAAAACCAGTAAAGCATATAAATATATAGAGAGATAAATTTATATCAAGGTAACAGCTCACATGATTGTAAAGGCTAGAACATCAGAAGTCCATGGATCAGGGGAGAGGCCTCTCCCAATTCACGCAGCCACAGAAGCTGACAAGCCCAAGATCGGCAGGTCAGAGAGCAGGGCTCCTGCTCACAGGCCGTGAAGGTTGACGAGCTCCAAGATTGGCAGGCAAGACTGCAAGATTTCTTCTGATTCACGTAGCTACAGGGGCTGGTGAACCCAAGATCAGTAGGTTGGGGAGCAGGACTCTTTCTCACAGGCTGTGAAGATCGACGAATCCCAAGATCAGCAGCTAAGCTGCTAGCTCAAGTCCCAGGAACCGGAGGTGAGACGACAGGAGGCAGCCGCAGGATCCAGCATGAGCAAAAAGCCAGAACGTCTGCTTATATTCAGAAGCAGCCCACACCCCCCAAGGAAACTCCCTTTCATCTGATTGGCTACTCACAGCACATTCAATCATGGGAGTGATCACGTATAAACACTGAGAATCATGGACCAGCCAAGATGACACACAATCTTAACCGTCACAGAGAGTATAAGGCATTTCTAGCTACATGCCAGGTACTGTTCTAAACCTTCATATGCATTAACTCAGTCACTCCTTATCATATACGGGAGGCTATTATCCTATTTTTCAGGGATGAGACGAAGGCCCTAGCTGTTAGGTAATTTGCCCAAGGTCATTGGCAGTAAGTAGTAGAATTGGTCCCAGAGCCCTTGCCCTTAACCACCAGGCTAGACTTCCTCTAGAACATTAGTTCTAATCTTCATGACTGATGAGGAAACTGAGGCCCAGAACGTTAAGTAACACCCCATGCCCAAGGCTGCATAACAAGAAGCATCAGGCTGGCAATTAGAACTCAGTCTGCTTCCCATCACAGCACCCTGCCTCTCCACTGCCTTCTCCTAGCCTTCCAGGCACGATGATGGTGCAAATCAGAACAGCCTAAGGGTAATTGTTAAAGTTCACTTTCTGGGCAGTCTTCTATCTGTTCCAGTCCCCATTCCCCGCCTGGCCTCTCTCCATCTGCCCTCAGATCCTCACCTGGCCATTTGCTGACTCTGTTAGGTGGATCTTTACCATGTATGGCCTGTAACCTGCATAGATTTTTGATACACAAATATCCCCGACCCAGCCCCCAGCACAACTCTCCTCAGAACCCAGACCTGCTCCCAGAAGAATTACCCAGAAATTGATTCCTCACCCAGATCTTGGAAGACCCTGGCTGTTTCAGCTCCCCTTCCCTCCATGAAGTGCTCCTTCCTCTCCTCCAGGGCCCTTTCCCCAGGCCCACCCTCCCCACCATCCCCTGACTGTCTCCACTACACCGTTTCCTTATTCAGCTTCTGGCAGCATTTGTGTCTTAGATGATAGGAACAGCAGCCACCAGCCTTGAAGTTCCGATACTGTGCAGGCATATCTTGGCTCATTCTCTCTACTAGGTGAGGCAGGATGCCATTGCTATGCCGACTTTGCAGCTGAGGAAACTGAGCCGTAGAAATACTACATTAAGGCCCAAAGTCATTCAGCTAATGGTAAAGCAGGAGGCCAGGCCTTGCACTCTGACTTCAAAGCCCTTCTTCTCAGCAGCCTGAATAGGGCAAGGCTAGCCCCAGCAGTGACATTTCAGCCTCACTGGGGGAGGTGTTGGGGCCAGGAGTGCACACAGCTGCCTCCTCAGCCCAGGAGTGGACTGGCCTTGCAGTAAGGTGCTCCTCTGACACAAAGCCTGCTGCAGCTGGTCCCAGATCTGCTAGCCAGCACCTCAGATTGTCCTCCGGTCCCAGAGAAGGAGATCAGATTAAATGGGAGCCAAAGAGAGTACACCAAGTGAAGCATACTCTCTTGCCATTTCCATCAGACTAGTCAAACTGTTTCTCCTTTGCACACCTGGTGTGGTTGTGGGCAGGCAAGAATTCTGAGAGGGTAAAATTGCCAAAAGGCCTGTAAAAAAACAAAAAACCAAACTCACTGCTGTCAACTTGATTCCGACTCATAGCGACCCTACAGGACAGAGTAGAACTGCCTCCATAAGGTTTCCAAGGCTGTAAATCTTTATGGAAGCAGACTGGCACGTCTTTCTCCCACAGAGCAGCTGGTGGGTTCAAACCGCCAACCTTTCAGTTAACAGCTGAATACTTTAATCACTGCACCGGTAGGACAATGGGAAATAAATTCAGCGATAGGTTTGCCCTGAGGGAAGGTCTAAGTCTTCACTATGACTGAATATTCACTGTGACCTTATTGACACAGGGAGTGACCTGTCCAGACACACAGTTCTCAGGTGTCTTCAAAAGAGGGACTACTAATAATAGCTGGCACAATCACTGTTGAGAATATTGAATGAATTCAGACAGGTAAAGGACTTGGAACAGTACCTGGCACATAGTGAACTAGTACAAGTGACAGCAGGTGGTATGATGACCCTCCTCAGCCTGGATTGACAGCAGTGGCCCTTGAACCTGAGCAGCCCCATGGAGGGCTTATTACAACAGTTTCTTGGGCCCCATTCCCAGAGAGTCTAACTTAGTAAGTCCAGGGTGAGGACTGAGAATTTGCATTGCCAGCAAGTCCCCAGGTGATGCTGATGCTGCTGGTTTGGGGACCACACTTTGAGAACTACTGCTACTAAGTCATAAATATTGCTATTCTTAGCTACAATATCATTGTTATTATTGATACCCACATTCACAGAGCAACTGCTGTGTGCCAGGTGCTAAGCTCCTTTCACGCACATAGCAGCATCCCTGTGAGGTAGGTAGTAATATCTCCATGGTGTCGCCAAAGAAATTGTAGTTCTGAAGGTTAAATGCTTACTGAAGCTCTACCAGCAAGTGAATGGTGGATACAGATACAGTACTTGAATCCAAATCAGTCTCACTCCAGAATGACTCAACTCTACCACCAACCAGCCTTGGCCCTTCATTCAACTGGTATTTATGGAACTTTTGATAAAAACCTGCCTGCGTGTAGCACCATGGAGTTCACAAAGCAATTTCCAATGCGTTTCCTCATTTCATACACACAAAAGCCTGTGAAGTAGGTCAAAAGTATTAGAATCATCTGCTTTTACAAGGAAAACGTAATTACTGCGGAAGAGTAAGGATTGGAGAGGACCAGTGTCTTGTTCATGATGGTACAGCTAGTACGTGGTGGAGCCCACCTCGCCTCCACACCCATGCTCTTCACATTGCATACTGCCTCTCTGGGTGCTCCTCCATGTGCTTCATGTTTGGGGGGCAGCAGGCAGAAAGCAGACTGCGTCGACACTGCCAGTGCAGTCACTCTCTGGCAGAGAGGTGAGCCACCTACATGAGATTCAGTTTTAGAATAAGTTCCAGGCGGTGTGACCTGTGTATGCCAGCAAGTGTGAGCACATACTTCCATGCTAAGGCCATGTAAAGAAGGGGCATGGAACAGCTAGCATTAGCATGGGGAAAAAAGAAAAAGCATATCCTTATCCTAAGCCAGGCTCAGGGAGTCCCTGTGTGGTGCAAATGATTAACACTCTGGGCTGCTAACTGAAAGGTTAGAAGTTCGAGTCCACCCAGATGCACCTCGGAAGAAAGACCTGGCCATCTACTTCCGAAAAATCAGCCATCAAAAACCCCACGTAGCACAAGTCTACTCTGACACGCATGGGATTACCATGAGTCAGAATCGACTTCATGGCAACTAGAAGGAAAAAAAACAAACAAACTAGGCCCTGTAGAAATGGGAGGATTTGCTCTGCTGTTGAGGGGTGGTGAGGTGTCCTGGCAGAAAAACCTGTTGGAAGCAAAGGAAGACACGGGAGCAAACAGGGTGTGGGAAGTGGGAGTGGGGGCAGATGTGTGGGAGGCAGGGAGCCTGCAGCACCGTCTGAGCCAGGCCAGGTCCCATGGACAGGATTTGACCTTTTCCTTCTCCAGCCTCCCCAGGGGCCCAGAGCACAAGCCCCATCTGAGGCCTCCCAGGCTGGAGCCACTTTACAGAGGCCTCGCCACTACTCCAATTGCTCTGATTAAAAAAAACCCAAAAACCTGTTGCTGTCGAGTCGATTCTGACTCATAGCGACCCTATAGGACAGAGTGGAACTGCCCCATAGGGTTTCCAAGGAGCAGCTGGTGGATTTGAACTGCAGACCTTTTGGTTAGCAGCCACCAGGACTCCAATTGCTCTGATTAGAGGAGCAAAAACAAGCCAGGTGTTACCAGGAAATGGTATAATTAGCACTCACTGCTGCTGATTTCTTTTCTAAACCCTGGACATTTTTTATTCATTAATCATCTCTCAGTTCAACCAGCACAGAGCCGGCATGTGGTTTACCTTTTGATGTTCACATAAGAGAACTCTTGAATTTCAAAGAGCTGGCAGAGATTTGGGAGAATCGGATGCAGACACTACAGCTGTGATCAAACCTCATTAGAGGTTATTCTTCAAGCAGGTTTTTCCCTCTCTTTCTCCCTCTCCCCTTCCCTCCATGATTAGAGGGATGGTTGTTGGTTTTGTGCACCTTTTCTTTGGGACAGATCGTGGTGAGTAGTCCCCTCCTTCCACCGCCCTCCCTAGGTTGGAGGCTGCACCCCACCCCCACCCCGTGCTCCTGACAGCAGGCTCAGGTCTTTGTAGCAAGGTTTTGTTCTCCACCTTATACTAGTCGCCACGGTGAGAATCAAAGCTTCATAAATAAAGGCAGCTTCAGGCAAAGTTCTCCTCATGGAGGGTCTCTGCATCTTGCATAGAGGAGACGGCCCACTGAGAACTGGGCTCAGAATGACAATCCTGAGAGGAGGGCCCCACACAGCACCCATTCTGAGTCCCCTTTCCATATACATGGGGCTCTGGGTATCCTGTGGTGGGTGGTATGGCCCAGCCTGAGGAGCCATGCAGTTCAGGGGAGACAGGATCCAGCCATCTCGGTCATTCCTGAGGCCCAGAGTTAACACTGAAACCTAGACCTTGCCCCTTGTTAGAGCCACAGTCAACTCAATTTGAAAATCATTAATGATGCACAAAATGGTAATAGTTGCTACCATTTATCATCGCTAAATGGTTAAAAGCTCAGCTACTAACTGAAAAGTTGATGGTTGGAATCCACCCAGAGGTGCCTTTGAAGATAGGCCTGGCAACCAACTTCTGAAAAATCAGCCATTGAAAACCCTGTAGAACACACACGAAGACACATGGAGTTGCCATGAGCTGAGGTTTACTGGACAGCAACTGGTTTTTTGTTTTGTTTTTTAAATTGCCAAACATTGTGCTAAATGCTTTATATGCATTTTCTTCTTTAATCCTCTCAACAGCCCTGTGAAGAAGATACTACTATTATTATCCCATTTTATAGATGGGGATATTTTACTGCACAGAGCAGTAAAGTAACTTGCCTAAGATTACACAGCTTGTAGAAAGTAGCTTCTAGATCACAATCTTCTGGAGGGTAGAGATCACGTCTTTTTTGTTCTTGTGTGCCTAGCACACAGTAGATGTGAACTAAATGTTCCTCAAGTGAGTGGTTATTCAGAAGGTTTTCACTGGCCAATTTTTTCAGAAGTAGACTGCCAGGTCCTTCTTCCTAGTCTGTCTTAGTCTGGAAGTTCTGCTAAAACCTGTCCACCAAGGGTGACCCTGCTGGTATTTGAAATACCGGTGGCAAAGCTTCCAGTGTCACAGCAACACGCAAGCCACCACAGTACGACAAACTTGACCATCTAAGGTGGAAATAGATGGGTGAGGTACAAAGCCAGCCCTCAGAGTCAGGCAGCGATAAATGCAGCAGGAGGCATCTGGTACAAAATGCTGAGGGAGCCCAGAGGAGGAAGCAATTAATTCTAAGTAGATTAGGAAGCTTTTAGAAAGGAAGACACATTTAAACTGGGCCTTGTGAGCAGACTAGGGACATTGCAAGCAGTGGCAGCTGTGGGAGAAAAGGCTCTCAGTTATGAATGAGCAGGGCACCATCAGAGAGCGGCACTGTCCCCCTAGTAACCCAAACCCAATGCCGTCAAGTCAGTTCCAACTCATAGCGACCCCATAGGGTTTCCAAGGTTGTAACTCTCCATGGAAGCTGACTGCCACATCTTCCTCCTGTGGAGCAGCTGGTGGTTTCAAACTGCTGACCCTTCAGTTAGCAGTTGATTGCTTTTACTACTGCACCACCAGGGCTCCCTATCTTCCTGATACTGTATTGTAAACATACCACTTGCCGTGGAGTCAGCTCCGACTCAAGGTAACCCCATGTGTGTCAGAGTAGAACTCCATAGGGTTTTCACTGGCTGATTTTTCATAAGTAGATCACCAGGCCTTTCTTCTGAGATGTTTCTGGGTGGACTTCAACCTCCCACCTTTCTGTTAGCAGCTGAGCACATTAACCATTTGCACCATCCAGAGACTCCAACTGGGTTGTAAAAGAAGCTTAAATCCAAGTAGTTTCAATACAACCTGGATCAGACTGTGTTTGTGTAGTCTCCCACGCCGCCTGTCCCACTCTCTGCAGTCCTCTGCCTCCTGGTGTCCATGGGGCATCTTTACATCCATGTCCTGTTGCCAAAGAGCTAGCATACCGCAGACCTCATTCTTTATCTGCCTACCTGTAGCGTGGACAGACACAACAGGTTAAGCCACAGCTAAGAAGGTCTGGGGAAGGGTCTGAGAATCAAAGCTAAAGTCAGGTGGCAGGAAGGAGAGAGGCTGATGTCTGAGGGGTACCTGTATAAGTCATAAGAGGCACAGGGGCAGTAGAGGGCCCCAAGTTACATTTTTGGTGCCTCACAGATGAGCAATGTGGCTGGACTAACCCTTTGATTTCTCTGAGTTTTCATTCCTCAAACGCAGTGGTGCTATTTAAAACTCAAGGTTAATATATGTATTTTGCCACTAGAAGTCATAATGAGTTTTCCTCTTTCATTCCACAGTGTATTAAACCGCACCCCTATGCATCTGATCCAGGAAATCATATTAGTAGATGACTTTAGCAATGACCGTAAGTATTATCTCTTACATTCTCTTTAAGCACAAATGTCTGTTCCCAACTCCTGCATAACAGGCAGAGGTGAGTCCATGATTAGCTGGGGTGGAGGAAAGCCTAGGTTGGTAATAGTGCAGTGTCTAGAAACTCACTACCTACCTAAATTAACACAAACAGAGGTAGAACAACTAAATAAACCCATAACAAAAGAAAAGATTGAAAAGGTTATTTAAAAAACTCCCAACAACAGCAACAAAAAAGCCCTGGCCCTGATGGCTTCACTGGAGAATTCTAAAAAACTTTCAGAGAAGAGATGACACCACTTCTACTAAAGGTATTTCAGAGCATAGAAAAGGACGGAGTACTCCCAAACTCATTCTATGAAGCCAGCATAACCCTGATACCAAAACCAGGTAAAGACACCACTAAAAAAGAAAATTACAAACCAATATCTCTCGTGAACATTGATGTAAAAATCCTCAACAAAATTTTAGCCAATAGAATCAGCAACATATCAAAAAAATAATTCACCATGAGCAAGTGGGATTTATACCAGGTATGCAGGGATGGTTCAACATTAGAAAAACAATCAACGTAATTCATCACATAAATAAAACAAAAGACAAGAACCACATGATCTTATCAATCAATGCAGAAAAGGAGTTCGACAAAATCCAACACCCATTCATGATAAAAACTCTCAATAAAATAGGAATAGAAGGGAAATTCCTCAATATACTTAAGAGCATTTATACAAAACCAACAGCCAACATCATCCTAAATGGAGAGAGTTTGAAAGCATTCCCCTTGAGAACAGGAACCAGACAAGGATGCCATCTTTCACCACTATTATTCAACATTGTGCTGGAGGTCCTAGCCAGAGCAATTAGGCTCAAAAAAGAAATAAAGCACATCCACATTGGTAGGGAAGAAGTCAAAGTATCTCTATTTGCAGATGATATGATCTTATACACAGAAAACCCCAAAGAATCCACAAGAAAACTATTGGAACTAATAAAAGATTTCAGCAAAGTCTCAGGATACAAGATAAACATACAAAAATCAATTGGATTCCTTTACACCAACAAAGAGAACCT